TCACTACGGTCCTGCTCGTGCTCCCGCTTCCTGTGGGTTCTCATGCTGCTGAAGTCTGTTTCAATTTAGAATCTTTTTCAAAATTCTCTTGTCTCAAAATACCCCGCATTTGTTGCCGTGGTATTACTCCTATTGTGACTGTTGTAGGTGAGATTGAATTTGACATGCTAACAAGCCTGAAAACACACCTCTGCATTTGCTGGTTGTACAGTGTGACACCCCTCAGCTGTTAGAGTCAGTCTACTTCAGCCTGCCCCCACTTCAGCATGGATTTGAGTTCAGCCAGTGTTTCTCAATACAGCTTTAAATGGTGTTTGTTACACCTCTGAGTCATCCACAGAACTAAGTGTTGAATTTAATCGAGAATACTGGAAAATTAGGCCAGCTTTTCTCTTTCATACTGAATACACTCACGTTTTTGTTTAGTGAGGGCCATAGTTCTCATGCATAATTCTAATTGTGGCTTCAGACATTGGCCTTTGGGGAAACTGGCCTAAACCTGCCAAGACTCAAAGCCTGCTGCTTAGGAGGGTTGTCTTAGATATACCCTGGTAAAATGCTATGCTCTGGCTGAGTGTGTTGCTCCACCTAGAACACACAATTCCTGGGATAGGGATGAGCATGAAGCCCATGGAACATACATGCTGCTTTTGGTTAATTGAGCACTCTGCTTATTTTGAGTTCAGGCCTTCATCATGCCCAGAACAGGCTGTTGAAGGAAAACGCCTGCAGGTTTAGGTGGCAGGCAGCCCATTGGTAGGGCTTGCAATACCATGCAACGAAGAGTGATTTCCTGTTTGCCCAGATTCGAGTTTAGACGCAGGAGTATTCTCAGCTTAGGTTGAATGCGCACAGTTGGGGGGTGGGGGCTCTGATCTACTCACACTGTATAGCACCGCAGAGTAAGAAGGGTGGACTTGATTATGGAACTTGCCTAAGTAGTTCTCAATGGGGTTGTAATCAGGTGAGGCCTTGAGTCCAGAATGGAGGAGACTAGTTAGCCATCGCCCAACTCTTCAGTCCCCAACCAGAAATGACCATTAATCCTGAAGGCTTACCTAGTAGACATCTAAGTTAGTGGCTGTGTTCATGCCCTGTGTCTTGACAAGCAAGGAAAGGTTTTACCCTCAGGGTCTCAGAGTTGTAAAAACAGCTCCTCACTACTATCTTAGAACTCCGAGCTAATTTGTGTTTTGACAGCATTTCACACTCTCAGAAATAGAGCCCTTAGCCACCCAGGTAAGGTGGGTGGAATTAAACACGCTGTGCAGGAAATGCGCCAGCGCCTCCCTTTGGGCTCACAGAGTGGCTGATAAGTATAACACTTCAAGCCTTTGTGTGGGAACTCTGAGTGACTGTTGTCAGGGTGAGTCATTACTGACTCATCACCAAGACTAGTAGAGAATGCAGGGTGCAGTTCAGGATGTTTGGTGGGAAAGGAAATGGAGGAGAAACAACTGAGAGGAAGCCAGGTCTCACCCAGTGATGGGCTGTTCCACTGTAGGGTGTCTGAAGTCATTTCAACAAAACTCGGGATGGCTGTGGCTCTGAGTTACAGTGCATTTGAAGAAGGGGTGGTAAACTGATTGACATGGGATCGTGGTGCTGCTGACAGCTGACCAGCATCCTGTCAGTGGCTCGCTGCACTGTGGGTTTGTTAAATCATGGCAGGAACCATTGTGTGTCCTGGAAACCTGGTTTTTCACTATACTTGCTGTCTGCTTAATTTCAGACTCTATGTATGATGTGTTGGCCTGCATACGGCAGGGCAAGGCTTCTCTCCGGAAAGTAGAAGCGCCTTCCTTGTCCCCTCCTCGCACCTCAGTCAATGAACAAGTTCTGGCCGCCATCAGGCAGGGGGTGCAGCTGAAGAAAGTCCACCCAGATGCAGGAGCAAAGCCCAGCAAGACGAGTACCAGCGACCTGGAGAGGAGCATCAAGGCAGCCCTGGAAAGAATCAAGAAAGTGTCTGCTGACTCAGACGACAGTGATGAGCAGAACCCAGGTGCGTGGGACCGCTAGGGTCTCCAGGTGACAAAGGCAGACATGTCCATAACTAGACCAGCAAGGCTTCCCTGAGAAACTACTCTGTAGCTTAACACTGGGGAGAAGAGTGGAGGCGTGGTGTCTGTCACTGCCCACAGGTGGGTAGGCTGGCTGTGGGAACAGTACTATGTCCACTCTAGAGGCACTGTCTGAGCTGGAGGTGCAGCCCTGTGGTATACATTAGACAATGTACTTCCATGTGCTTGGACACTGATTCTTCAGACTTAAAGGCTTGAATGTGAACATGATTTTAGCAATAATCCAAATAAATTACATATATTCCAGAATTATTTTAAATATTTAAATAAAATTTATTTTGTGTATCAGCACTACAGAAACTCATAATAAACAGTATTTATAATGTGTCTGTGTCGTGAGGAAATGGTCTCTGGGCCACTAAAGTTCTTTCTGCCTTGGTGGGTTGGAAACTGCCCAGGATTTCAGCTTAGCATTTAGTTGAGCAAGTGCTGAGGGGACCAGAACAGCATTGCTTACCTAGGACTGGTCAGGAGTGGGGAGGGGACCAACACCAAGCGGCCTAGTCACTGCTCAGACTGCCCAGGTGTCCTTTAACCTCATCACCCCAACTCTCAGGACATCTGAATTTCTGCCAAACAAAACAGACCCACATTTCCTGTTTCTCACCTCCAGCATTCTGTTCCGTCTGGTCAGCACTGGCCTGGCACGGCTGGGAGGCACCTGAACCCTTCAGCAGCTGCTCTTGGACCTGCCTCTGGCCACTCATGGGTCTGCCACCCGTCACCTGTCCCCAGAGCTAACACTGCTGGGGGCACTTACTGGCCAGTCTGGCTTTGACATCTGGTGTGGGGAGTGTGCACCGGCTCATCCTGGCTCTGTACCGCTCCCTCACAGGTCCAGGGGTGCGTGTGGCAGGGCAGTGTAGGCTGCTGGGCATGAAATGGCTTTGCCCCAGGCCGCCTTTCTCACCCAGGCAGAAAGCTGGCAGAACCACAACACTGCAGGCCTTTGCTTATCTTTCGGGGAGTTTTAGGTTTTCATTCTCTATTGCAATTTGAGTGTTGTAAGGGGCCAGGAAGCTTCATTGGGTTTGGATAACTCAAGTTTGTCAAAAGTTTGCTTTTTTGTCAACAGTTTTGCGGGCTCTTCAAAGGCGAGTTCTCCCTAAGTCTGTGATCCAATCGTGTCTTTAGCATTGTAAAACTTCTTAAACTTTCATTTCGGTCTCGTTTCTCCCTCACCTGCTCTTTCAGCTCAGCCCTCAGCATACTCTGACTTCTGGGGTTCAGGACCATGGAAGGGGGCAGTGAGTCCTCTGGTCTTGACTGCCTGGCTGCAGTCCCCAGGGCATCTCCCTTTCCTACTGTAGGTTTTGATCTTACGTCCTCAGACTGCTTGCCCCTATTTCCCAGTGTTGCTCTGAAGCTTAAATGACTGGAATTGTGCGCACACACACACACACACACACCACACTTCTTCATCTAGACAAACTCAGACATTCTTCTGTCCCAATTCCATTGCTGCCTCCTCTCTGGGATCTTCCCTGCTTCCTTCCCTCACATGACCACTGAGCCTTCTTCTAGACATTAGTGTTGTTACCTCGCCCACGGTGCTACTACCCATGGGCTGGGGACATAGAGCTTAGTTGGTAGAATGCTTGCCTAACATGGATGAAGCCCTAAATTCAGTTCCTAGCATAGCATGCAGGCAGGCTTAGTGGTGCACACCTGTAATTCTAGCACTCAACTTATTGGCAGGAGGTCCGGCATTAACTTCTTCCCTGGTTGCGTCCTAAGCTCAGGCAAGCCTAGGATGCTGAAGACCCAGCCCCAGAGATACACAAATGGATAGTCTAGTGGGCAGTGTTCATACCTGGCTGTTGGAGATGGATCCGGTCCTGAGGAGGCCATACACACTGGCAGCATCCTCTGTTCTTGCTAGAGCAGATTGAGCTGTACCAATCAAATGGATTTGTTCATTTGAATATTCATTTGCATCTGAAATCAAATAACTCAGGAGCTAGAATGAAAAGGTTTTGATTCATCACCACGTAGTCTGTGAAACCACATTGACTGGATTTGTTCTTACCCTTTAGGCTTGTAAATTCATGGGAATGTCCAGTTTTCTGTTGCTGCTCTAACAAACCACTACAAATGCAGTGTCTTAAAACTGCACACTATTTAGACTTGGGATCTCATATAGCCCAGGCTGGTCTTGAACTCCTGACCGGCTGCCTTTACCTCCCAAGCACTAGGATTACAGACAGGCACATGCCTCTCCACACACAAACTCTTTCACTGGGTTCTGCTGGGCAGCAGTCTGACATGGCTCTTTCGGGCTAAAAATCAAGGTTTCAGTAGGTGCTTTCCAAAGGTGCCCATGGGTGGACTCAGAACTCAGTCTGCAGGAGGCACTGAGAAACCCTCCCAGTACTAGCCTACACCTCTGTGTTTATCTCTGTTCCTCCTGCCTAACTTTTCTAATCCTCACTTCCCCACCCTGGAATGTTTTGTTGAAGCTGGTCTAACAGACACAGATTCCTCTCTGGGGCCATTGTTTTATCTAAGGCCGGTTGCCAGGCAATCCCCAGAGGCCTTCCTCTAGGACCCAGGCTGCTCTGAGACCATCCTTAGGAACACTAACACCCGGGATTCAGGATGGCTCAGTAAGAGCACGTGCTCTTACAGACCACGTGGATTTGGTTCCTCTTGAGCAGCTCACACCCAGCTGTAACATTAGCTCCAGGGATCTGACACTCTCTTCTGCCTCCCATCATCACCGTATGCACACAACACACAAAAACTCACAGGCACGCATGCACACGCACGCACACGCACACACACAAACACACCCATTAAGGGTTAGCATCAGGTGAGATGACTCAGTGGACAAAGACATGCCACTAAGCTTGAAAGCCAACCCCTGGGACCACATATATGAGATCAAAACAGGACAACATACCTTGCAAGTTAACCGGAGACCAGAACAGGAACAACGCACCTTGCAGGTTAAAGTTTGTTTGCAGTTTAGACAGTAAAGCTCCTGCTCGTCCTGAAGTCCTTGCAAGTTAAGGTTTCTATTTGTAATTAATAAGTTCCTGGCTCTGTGGTGGTGATGCACACCTCTAATCCCAGCACTCGAGAGGCAGAGGCAGGTAGATCTCTGAGTTCGAGGCCAGCCTGGTCTCGAAAGTTCTAAGGACAGCCAGAGCAGTTACACAGAGAAACCCTGTCTTGAAAAACAAAGTTTCTGTTAGTTAGATAAGGTATAAATTGCAAAACTTGTTTTTCAACCTGTCTTAAATTTGCAAGTCCCATTCACAGGATGCGTATCCTTCCCCCTGTTCCTCCCTTCCATTGTGCTTTTCTAACAATGTGTAGCAGCTGATTCTCTCACTCCTGTGAGCACGTTACCCCTCCTATAAAAGGAACTTGAAGAGGCCAGCAGGGGCTGCTCTCTCAAATCCCAACTGGCCAGTCCTGGAGCACCCTCAAATACAGTTTCTGTTACTTGGACAATCGTAGGTTTGTTCTTTTCTCCCCAAAAGTCTCAGGTTGAAGATGCGGAAGGAAAAAGTCACCTGCTGCAAGCTGTCCTCGGATCTCCACACACTTTGGGAGAGTCACGGAAATAGATGAGAACACAGAGAATTATTAATAAAATACTAACACCACCCACAAAAGTCACTGGATTGAGGTCAAGACCAGCCTTGGATACACAAAACTGTCTAAACAAAATGATTTCCAGTTCTATATGGTAAGGTATTCATAGTAAGAGCGTGGTTGGACATCATGGGACCTGTGGAACTGGAACAGAGAACATTCCAGGGTTCAGAGACAACATGAATAAAGGACACAGAGAACATGCAGCAGCCAGACCTCTTCTTGGGGGAGAAGAGCCAATAAGAGAGATGGCTCAGTGATTAAGAACACTGGCTGCTCTTCCAAAGGTCCTGAGTTCAATTCCCAGCAACCACATGGCCGCTCACAACCATCTGTAATGAGATCTGCTGCCCTCTTCTGGTCTGAAGGCATACATGCAGACAGAACACTGCATACAAAATAAATAAATCTTGAAGGGAAGGGAGGGGTCTGGAAGCTGTTCTAACTCTAGGGTTTTGAAAGGAATCTCTGGCAGCTTTGTGTGAGAGCAACCAGGACTCCTTTTGCTACTCGGTGATTTGATGTCCTGGGGCAAACACTCATCTGGTTTATGGAACACACCCTTTGCTTACCATTAGGCACCACAACCTGAAGCCTGGAAGATACCTTAGAGAGAGGGCCCTGGAAGCCAAGGGCACAGAGGCACTGTGGTTGCAGCACAGGGCATCTGAGTGGGTCCCACGTTCCCGTGTGTGCGTGTGTGTGTGGGGGGTGCATAGCTGGGACTGGGCAGAGGACATCTCTGCAGTATGGACTGCTTCCCACATGCCCCCTCCCCAAACAACCCAGGGAAGATGTAAGCCCTCCCCAAACCATCAAAGACTCACCTTGGGAGAAAGACAGAAAGAACCCAGAATTGCACGAGCCCGATGCAATACGGCTTAAAACAGAAACTGGATGAAGGCTCAACAGGTCATCTTTCCTCCACGCCTGAGCCCAGGGCTGGGATTCACACCTCCCACACATTTGGGAAAAGGTGGTTGTGCCTGGCGCAGACTTCGCTGTGTGCAGAGCCTGCTGGATTCTTCTGGAAAGGCCTGCACTAGTGGGATAAAGTCTCCGAGATTGGCTTTCTTTCCCGTATCCAGGCAACCGGCGTCCATTCTCACTGCCTCTCTCGGAAAGCTAGTCCCCTGTCCAAGAAAAGTGCATCGTGAAAAGGGGGGAGGGGAGCCACAGTGTGGCCCATAGTGGCAGAAATGTAACATCAGCTGTGTGCAGTGGTCAACCCCCAAATGTCCCTATGTGTAGGACTGTCCCGCAACAGGAAGCAAACATGTTTGATGCTCAACCTCCATTCTGTTCCGGAAGCTAGGGAGCCGCCACCTGGACTGGTACCCTTGGTCTGCCCTGGAAGGGCATCGGCCTGCTGGAAGACGATGTGCATTTCCAAACACCTCAAGGCACAAGGGTTTCCAAGAGGTTTTTGTCATCTTAAACACACACACAAAGATTCTGGTGAGCTGTGTGTGTATTTCTACATAAACAACTCTATTACAACGAAGCCAGGAAAAACCAAGGGAACGAGCCTTTAAGAAAGCGATTGGTCATTTTTCTATGGCAAACAAAAACACACAAGCAGAAACGACAGTGATAATGTGAACAAGCCTTTCTTAGTCTTTAATGAATCAAGTAAATAAAAGTTAAAGGTCCATATTAGTATGTTTAGTAAGGTCAAATTGATACACATAGGTCAAATATCGTTGCTTTCAAAGAATATACTTTCTTCAACTTCCTGGGGAAGCTTATTAAAACTAAAAATCTATCATGTCTTAACAGAACGTTAATGAACTCCAAAACACGCAGGCCATCATCCTCTTTGACAGCAAGGTCTGTAACAAATGTTAAAAGCCAACAGCAACAAATACCAAATGATCTGGATTTAAAACAACTCCTCAGTAAAAGGCAGCCTCCACTCTGAAATGATAAATTATTAATAACAATCATATCATACATAAACATTTATGGGATACAGATATGTTCAGAGGAAAGGTCACAGTCCAGCAGTGTGAGTTAGTGTGCCTTTCACTGACAAGGAAGTCAAGATGGCCTTTAACTTGAAAAGGTGGGAAAATGCCAGGGGCAAGAAAAATAGAAAAAAAAAAAACCCAACAATCATAAAATGATAAAACTAGGAATTTACATGTAAATTCCAAAGCTGGTTCTTTGAAAAGATGAATGAAAACTGACTAATTATTGAAAAATAATCAGAATAACAATGGGAAGCATAGACACACAGCACTAAGGGAAAAATAACACAACCCCATGTCAACAGATCCCAAACACTTAAAGACAATTATCATTTGGGAAAATTTAAATTTGTCAAAAATCTCACAGAAGAAACTCTGAAGAGACCAATGAACATGGGAAAAATTTAAATTATCAAAAGATTATTTCTTTAAAAGGCACTAGACTTGGACAGTTTATGCTGTTATAAAAACTTCAAAGAGCAGGGAGTTCTGAATATTATTTGAACTATCCCAGGGCCTAGAAAAAGATATAGAAAGTGTCCCAAGATATAGTTTAAAGGAACTTCACATAAAAACACCTGACAAAGACAGCAGAAAAACCACACTCATCTCATTAATACGATATGAAATTCCAAAATAAAAGGAACCCACCAAATCAAGAAGAGTATTTTCTCATTGTAACGCTCTTCATTTTATTATACAACTTTTTTTTTTTTTTTTTTTTTTTTTTTTTTTTTTTTTTTTTTTTTTTTTNGGTTTTTCGAGACAGGGTTTCTCTGTGGTTTTGGAGCCTGTCCTGGAACTAGCTCTTGTAGACCAGGCTGGTCTCGAACTCACAGAGATCCGCCTGCTTCTGCCTCCCGAGTGCTGGGATTAAAGGCGTGCGCCACCACCGCCCGGCTATACAACTTTTATAGAAAAATCCGAAAGCACAAAGAAGACAAAGTAAAAACGTGCCAAAGACCAAGCGATCGTGAGTAGCCACTGTTAACTCTGGAAGGAGATGTCTGGTAAACGGATAACACACTGTGACTGCCTCAGGCTTCTGCAGAAACAGGAGAGGGCTCTGCTAACATTACCACCCCCACTAGGACCACTCATCCTAAGTCACGGCCGAGAAAAATCATTTGATCAGCGCGACAGGAGTTAGGATTTGCTTCCTAAAACCCCAGCATCCCTTACTGGTAAAATTACAGCAAACTAGAGACACAGGAGCATGGCTTGAGTATCCAACACGGAGTCACACGTGTGCTGCTGGAAAAGACTCACCAGGGGAGGGGCCATGGAGAAGCATGTTCCAGACCAGCACAGCCATGGACAAATCTGGACAGAAAAGTATCGTCACTAATCAAAACTATCACCTATGAAGAAGGCAAATGGCCTCAAGAATGAAAGTATTAGGATGAAAAGAATCATGACTGGCTGAACAGGATGATGTAAACCTGTTCGCCGACGCACACTCTTCCACGCAGAGGTAAGAATGAGGTAGATGGATGCTTCCGGGCGGCCAAGACCTTCCGAGAAAAGGACGTAAATAGCAGAAGGGCTGTATCAGATTGTCGAAATGATAAAACACCTGTGTGTGTGTGTATGTGTGTGTGCACGTGCTTGTGTGTGAGACAGAGACAGTGTGTATGTGTGAAAGAAAGTGTGAGTGTGTATGTGCGTGTGCATGTGTGAGAGACAGTGCATGTGTATAAGAAAGTGTGTGTGAGCGAGACAGTGTGTGTGTGCATTTTACATAACTGTTGAGGAGCTTGGATCAGAGGGAAATTTGACTACAGGAGAGACATTGATTTTCTACAGTTTTTTCGTGTTTCCATTTATGTAGCCTGTATGTAGCGTCCTCAATTAGAAAACCAAGGGGAAGGATTTCCATTAACAATGCAGTGTTATAGAGTAAACTGTTGAAAAAGATCTCATTTACAACAGTAACCACAATAAAAAAAATTACCTTTATTGGAAAAAATACACCAAGGGACATAAAACTGGGCGTTATAAATTTCATGAAACGAGAGAGGTTATAAAGACGTTACTTCTTTTGTAATACAGAAATAGTAGATAATTCAATTTCCAGTGGTTCCAGAATTTATAAAATGGTCCCTGAATTTCTTCGGTAAATATTAGTATGTAAAATGGACTAGGAAATTTAGAAAATTTCATTAGTGGGAATTTTAAAGCCAAAGTTAGGATTACCAAACACTATAGTACCAGTGCTAGAATATACAGGCAGGCAACTCAGGAAAGTCTACAGCCACTAGAAGGGCGGGGCCAATAATAACTATGCAGTTTGATAACAGTAGAGAATGAATCGTTCCCCCCCAGGTAGTGCTGCGCAATTTAGAATTAAATTGCGAGCAGAATAGAAAGGAAGCTTTGTTGTTGTTGTTTTATTTTGTTTTGGAGACAGAGTCTCACTGTGCAACCCTGGCTGGCGTGGGACTTCTTATATAGACCAAGCTGGCCTCAAACTCAGAGATCTGCCTGCCTCTGCCTCCTGAGTGCTGGGATTAAAGGCGTGCGCCACACACCTGGCTGGTTTTTTGAGACAGGGTCTCTGTAGCCCAACTGGTTCTTACACTTGCTGTGCGGCCAATCCTTCTGCCTCCACCTCCCAAGTTCTGGGATTACAGGAGCGTGCCACCACGCCTGGCCTAGATCAGGGGTTCAACAGATGAAAAGAAACAATGAATACACAAGAATAATATACAAATGTGTAAAACGTACTAGAATTAGAACTGGGAAGCCTTTCGCAATCGTGACAGCAAAGGACTAACTATAAAGAAAGACAGAGTTGACTAAAAACGTTTCTTTTTAATGTTTAAGCATTTTTTTCTAAGAGCCATGATACTTTAAAATTTATATAACACTTCTGAAAAAAACTTTGAAATCAATGGGACTGTGTGTGGTGGAGCAAGCCTGTAACCCCAGCACGGAAGGCTGAGGCAGGAGGACCGCCACGAATTTAAGGCTAGTGTGGTCTACATAGTGAGTTGCAGGCTAGCCACAGTTACAGAGTTGAGACCTTGTTTCAAAAAAACAAAAACAAAACCAAAGATAAATAAAAGGGGTTGGAGGATGGAGAGATGGCTCAGTGGTTAAGAGCACTAGCTACTCTTTCAGAGGACCAGGGTCTGGCTCCCAGCACCCACATGGCTGCTCACAACCTTCTGTAACTCCAGTTCCAGGAGATCCGATGGCCTCTTCTGGCCTCTTTGGGCATCAGGCATCCAAGTGATGCACAGACTACATGCGGGCAAACACCTATACATTAAAAAACCAATCGATGCGACTGCTAAAGACCTTATAAGAAAGCTGGCCAGAGATGAACAGAAGACACAAAACATATAGTCTAATAAATATTTCTGCCAACAAGGATCATATTTTAATAAAAATGTAACTTTGTTAGCTCCTGCTCCATGCTAACGTCAGTGTTACAGAGGGAGCAGGGTGCTCACACACATTGCTAGTGGGGGGATGCTTGGGGGACGTATTTCTGAAAGGCAATTTGAAGTATGTTTAAAACCCTAAAAACATGCATGCCTTTTCTCTTACTGGTTAAAACAGGGGCTATGTTATGCTGCAGTAAAAACACCAACCCTGAAATCCCGGGGGTAAAACCTGTAAGGTTTATCTCTGGCTCGGACCACAGGTCCACGTAGGTTGGTGGGTGGGGTGGAGAGAAAGGAGCCGTCCCGTACAGTCACTCAAGGACCCAGGCCGGAAGACGGTCTACCCCTGGGATGTCACCACTTGCTAAGGCAAAGGATCAGGGACACACTCTACAGTCCTAGCTCGAGTTTCATATGTTCCTTCTGCTCCTATCACACTCACTGGAATCACTCACAGGGCCCCGAATCACTGACCACAGCGGGGCTGGTGAGTGGAATCTCTCATGTCTAAGAAGGAGAGGAGCCACGGTCTGGAGATCAGGGAACACTGGTTTCAGTGATGGATTCTAAGTCCATATTCTGAACAGTTTACAAAGATGTCAGGACAATTTCATGGCGTCCTGACGACAAGGGTAGAAAATTGGAAACAGCTTAGACATCCACGGTGTGATCCACTCAGCGGTTAAAAAGCAGTAGTTTCGTATCTACCAATGGAGAAGTCCATTCATGAGTGTCGGAGGGGGTGAGTGGGTCACGTGAGGCGTGTGCATGAGATGGTGTGGTATGTCACGGAAGAGGAACGGGAGCGGCTGTGCGGGGAAGCTGACGAGCCACGCGTGTTAACAGGGGTTACAATCAGACGGTGGGGCAACAGGTGATTTTTGTTCCTTTTATCTTTAGTTTCTTTTTGTAAAAACAAGTATCTATTACTTATATTCCAAAAAAGCGTTTAGAAAGAAAAAGGGTGTTACTCGTGAAATAGTTTGCTTATCCAGTCCATACTTAGCACTAAGCTCTTATGGAGATGTAGGAAACGCCTTCCTGCTGTAATAGCATGAGACACGGCACAAGGGACTGAAACTCAGGCCTTCCTATCAAAAGAGGTATGGGGGAGAGGGAGAGGAAGGGGGAGGGGAGGGCGGAGACAGCATCATATCCCCAGCAGCTGTGAAACATCAGTCTCCTGCCAATCTCTCGACAAAGTGTACAAGCGTGGACTCACTCCACTGTGGCCCATCTGGGCTTCTGGAGGGGTCCCTGTGGCCCAGAGGCCACTCTGCAGCAAGGACTGCACTGTCTGAGACCCACAAGGCCTTGTAAGCGGAGTCCAGAACATTCAGCATCACCACCAGAAATACTCCAAGACGCCTCCTAGTTACAGAGCTGTAGCTGATCTCTCCTAGGTGTTACCCCAGCTTTCTGTCAGGCTGTCTTCCCCAATGTGTGTATGCGCGCGCACACACACACACACACACACACACATATACACACACACACGGACATTTGACACAGTAGGAATTCTTGCCAGATTTGATTTTAAAGAGGGAAGGTGTAAGGAAAGACATGAAGTAATTCACACTTCTGCTCAGGGCTCTGTCCACGCTGTCACACCCACTGTCCCCAGAATATCGTCTATTTCTTTGGGGAAGCCACGTACTCAGAAGTCTCGGTCTATTTAAATCATGCCTACCACTCAAAATACGTACGGACAGACGTTGACTGGAAAGCTTCCGGTTTGTGTTGCAAGTGCTTCAAACTCCAGTGGGGTCCCCCTGAATTGTGATCGTAACTTCTAGTGACTTACTATCAGTTCTTAGCAAACAGCAGCGGCAGGTGCTCCCGGGAAGGGGAGCTCCTATCAGGTCGCCTCCTTTCCAAGAATGCGCCTGGCTATTACACCTGAGGTTCACATTGGGTCTCGTTTGCAGTTGCCCCTGGGGTCTGCAGGAGAGGGGATTTGTCTATAGGAAAAGAGCCCCTGCAAAGTGGACACGTGCTTTACGGCCTCTCACGGACTATATGACACGCCACCCTTTTGTTGGTGTCTCACAGCCAATGCATTACATGCTGCCCATCACATAGCTGAAGGCTGTGGCTGTGAAGCCTGCAGGCAGGAGAGCAGCCGCCCCTGCGGGCAGCTCATGCTTGCAAACCACTCTAAGCCCTGGAAAAGCAGGGTCTCCCCAGCTGTGGCTCATCCGGACCGACCACCTCTGGGCGGGAACACCATTTACGTCTCTGCAGCCAAAGCCCTGCTGCCTCTTGAAAAAGATGAGTGTGCGCCCATGAAAACCATCAGCAGAGAACTTAAAGCCAGTCTGTGTTCTACCAAACTGGCCTCTCAGAGCACAGAGGTTACTGAAGAGTCCCCTACAGACCAGAACCATTCAGAAACGGGCCTCACTATGTCTGGTAAGTGGAAGTGTGATCAGCCTCAGTCCCCTGCCAGCTGTCCCGTGCTGTGGACACACACTGAAATAATACAGTGTGTTTTTACTAGGGCAGACGAGTATTTATTTCTTCTTGGCATCTAAGAAACATCAAAGGAGAACCGCGATACGGTTCTGAAGAGAACGGTGGACCAAGGTCCAAGTGACCCAAGAGCCCATGCTGCTGGTCACAGCTGGGGTCCCCTGGGCACGCCTCTCTGCCTCCGCTTCCTGCTGATGATCTCTGCCAAGTTCTCTCCCCCAGTGGAGGTCTACAGTGACAGCTCTTGGGGGGACGATCTGAGGGTTAGCACGGGCTCTGTGTGGCTCCCCCAATCTGCGCTTCTAGTTACATTCCTGAGGCCCCAGAAGCAGGTCCTGTCCCTACCAGCCTTACGTCAGAAATGCACACGGATTATGGTTAAAGGGTTCTCTGAGTTTTCCTTGGCCTCTTTTAGGCCCTGTGTGAACGGCTGCAGAAAGCCAGGTAAGCAAGGCACAGACAGCCATTCTCGAGTTGTCAGGAGAGCTCAGGGGACACCTGGTTCGGAGGCGGCACACCACGGCAGTAATCGCCGGGAGCCAACAGCTCACTGCACCTGCACAGGGTTTGAGGTCATGACGACAGTCCCAGGGCTGGGCTGGACGTCACAACAACTGGAGGCATGCCACATCAGTGCGAGCGGAGACTGGACAGTTAGTGGCTCGTCTGCTCTGTACAGAGCCTACCTTTTGAAGGGCTGGAGGTTGTATTCGGGGCCAGCCTCCTGTTGGCCACCCAGGCCGTTTCTGGGTCACGACTGTTCTTAAAAAGAGCAGATGGAGAGACATGAGCTCTTTAGAGAAAGCAGGTGAAGGGGAAGGTCAGTGCTTAGTCTCGCACATGTTTGCCTAAATCACTCTGCGACAGGTTCCTAGGTCCTCAGGCTCCTGGGTTGCGGCCGTTTGGGGGATGCCCCAAAACTCTCGTTCCCCTACCTGCTGGCTACGAGAAGCCGCCAGACTCTTCAACGGCTCACAGCAAGGATCATGGAGTCGACCTTACAGTCAGCCCCACTGTGGTACTGACTTCCAGAACTTTCTGCATTTCCATTTTCAGCGCTTTTGTAAGTCACTGCCATGCAGACGAAGAAGGGGCTTTAGCAGCTATGTTCGTACGGCCCTGTCACCGGCTCACACCCTCACCAGCCAAGAGCTCCTTCTACACGTCTACATCTATCTACCTGTGAAGCCCAAGATGAGGATCCCGGCGTCTGCTGCTCCTGGGCAGCCATGTGCCCAGGCTGCTGACAGACAGGGAGGCCAAGATGGTCTAAGATGAGGGCCCCTTACCCAGGCTGGGTCATAGCCAGCCCAGTCTTTGTTCCCTAGTGGACCAGCACGAGCTGCTACTGATGAGACCTATTAGGAGCTGCAGGGGAAGGCGGGGCCAGTCACACCCTGGGGTGAATTACATCACAGGTGACCACTCCCATTGCACAAGACACCCTCAGCACTCCATATCGCCAGCCTCCCTTCCTTTCCCATCCCAACAGAGTTCCTTGACCAGAGTGACAGCCACAGCAGGGAACGATGAGGGCTGGGAAGTCACCACGGGGCCTGGGTGGCGGACAAGCTGGCCCGCCCCTTCCCCAGGCTGTCTGCATGAACAAGAGTTCATGCAAAGTCACGAGGACGAATTCCTAACTGTGTGAATTCATATCTAGAGGGTTCTTAGAGAGCTAGGGAACACCAAAGTTCCCCTTGACTGGGGCATTTAGAAGGGTATCCCATGGACATCTCTCTTAAGGACAGATGCCTGTGGGTGGACCTCAGTGCCCAATGGCCCCACCAAGAAGTCTGTGAGAGGAGAGCTTTAGGGCTCCAGGTCCTTCCTTAGCAGGACCTAAGGGAAGGCAGACCCGGGCAGAGCAGAGCTGCTCTGTCACCACGGCCAAGGGCTGCCACCTGAGCAGCTCTCTTACCCTCATAGCCTGTAGGACATCTTCTCGGTTGTTCGAGCCCATTGTAGGAACCTGGCCGAGCTTCTAGGCCCGTGGCAGCTCCTATCCCAGGCTCTCCCAGGATCCTAGAAGCCTCAGACTACAGGCGCTCTGCTTAGAAGAGAAGGTAGTCCCATGGCAATGACCTCTATGGGGATCACGGCTGGGCACCCTGCGGGAGGGTCACTCCATTGCCGGTATCCCTCCTCAGAGCCACGTGTGGGTTTGCCTGCAGCAGACTGCATTCCCTGCAGGCCATCTCTTCAGCCCAGGGAAGATGGTGCATGATTCCACGGGGCCTGAACTCTGCTGTGGGATCCGATTAAAGCACTATATGTGTTTAATTGAACGAATGTTTATTAAGCACCTGTGGTATGCCCAGCACTATGTTAAGCACACTCCTGCATCCGTTCCCACAGCGTAAGCAGACGCCCGGAAATAGAAACAAAACAAAAACCAACCAACCACCAAAAAAAAAAAAAAAAAGAAACACAAGAAAAGAAACATTGCCGCAACCGTAGTAATCGGGGGAAGATCGGGGCACAGTGGATACAGGTGAGTTCCTGTCTGTAGGTACACCCCAGAACTTCTGGGTTTTCTTCCCTCTGGTAAAGTTTCCACTAAATGGTTCCTTTCAAGAAGAGACGCCTGACCTACAGTCTGAGGGTCACACGTAGCCGAGGATAACTAAGAATATGCTCCAACACAAAACAGTAAATTGACTTAAAACATTGAAAGGTGGTTTGTTTGGGGCTTTTTTTGACAATTATTTCTCTGTGGGTAAGTCAATCCTTGAGTGTGATCTTTACGGATGACAAAGCTGTATCACAACGTCAAAAGGTTAGATACATAGCCCCCACGGACTAGAATCTGCCCGAGAGTCACACACCCTGAATGCTACTCAGTAGAAGGCGCCCAGTGGCCTGTTGTAAAGGATATCGATAGTTGGATTAGAAAATACTCCCCCACCCACCCAGTTCATAGGGTTGCAACAGCCCTTAAAAAAAAAAAGAGAGAGAGAGATATAAACATCCCTGCCTGACTGCGTAAACGGCTAAGGTAGACCGAGTTCTGGATTCCTGAGTCAGAAGCTTCCAGTCGCCCACACCTCACGAGTTTCTATCCGGGAGGACTGGGTGGACCGCGTGACTGGTCTGGAGACAGACAGGATGCACCTGCATTGGCAGAAACGACACAGATGGAGGATGTCCTACGCCTACTTCACCTCACACACACACTCGCCACCCGGGGCCTGGCCTGGCCTAGTTATCCGCGCCCAGCTTGGAGAGTCCTCGGCGGAAGTCGTGGAGGTCGTCGATCTTGCCGTCCAGCACCTCCAGGAAGCTCTTCAACTCCCCCTTCAGGTGGCGCTGTCGGTATTTGCTCTCCTCGATGTCTGTTTTTAGAGACCGCACTTTGTCTTCCAAGTTTTGATTGTCTCTTTCGGCCGCCTGGCGAGACAAGAGGGAGAAGGGTCTGGAAGACAGCGACGGGATGGAGGATGGAGCTGCCACTCAAGACGTCAGTCCTGATGACGGTTCTCCAGGAGGAGGAGTCAAAGGGGTAGGTGAGCAACAGCTGGCCTGAACACCTCAAGCAGCAAGCAGAAATGCAGACTGACTCTAAGGGCTTCCCACAGACTCCAGCAGAGAAGATCGGAAATCTGGGCCCCAGTCCTGGAGCGGTCGGCAGAGACCGCCTTTCGTTATATCCTACCAAAGCCAGAACACAGGGGACAGTGACGTGGCTTGCTTCCTTGGCCTCTAGCTGGCTACCAGTCCTTTGTGAGGGAGGACGCCTAACGCCATAGAAGAAGAGCTTTATCCTGTGGGCATGAGCTACGACTTTCTTGAACTTGTGCCCAGAAACTGGTTATCGACACAGCCCTGGGGTTGTGTACTTCAGTAAAGTGTCCCATGTGTGTATCAAGGGACAACCTAGGGGTGAAGAAAGACCAGGAAGCTGGTGCAGGTCGAAGGTCAGTACCCAAAGTCACAGGCTGGGGAGAGGCCAAGGTGGCCTGGTCCCCAGACCCTGTACATACGGGGTACACATCTGTCCTTCCTAACCAGCTGTGGTTCTGCAGGGATTTTTCTGTGGGCAAGGAAACAGTCACCCACACTCTGATTGTGCACAAGACCCTTCGTGTAAATGGGAAAATCAAAAACCTAACACTGGGGAGGCAGCCCCCAGGGATGCTTGTAACACACAATTACTAGCATTTTTTTTTTTTTTTGTAAGGAGAAACCCACCCTTGACCCTCCTAGATACATAATTGAAGGAGAGTGGAAGATAAGGGATATGCCTATCACCTCGGGACCAAATCACACAATCACCTTACCTCTAGCTTCTCAGAGACGTATTCACACTCAGACATGAGCTGAGGTATGATCTCACTCTGTTTCCGGAGGTCTTTCAACTCCTGGGGGAGAGAGACGGTTTTAAAAAGACACACACACACACACACACACACACACACACTTGGAAATTGCTGGAGCTGTGTGTGCAGTAGTGGGTGCTGTTCCCAGAGCCTGTCTTGCTCACATAGACAACGATGGGCGGGCGCTCTTCTGAAGCCTCAGTGACCCTCAGGGTGTAGTATCTTAGATGGACCATCGTATGAAATCTGTACCCATGGACATTGCTGTTTTGTTGTGGGGAAAACTGAGGCCTAGGGCGGTTTTGTTAACTTGCCCATGATCCAGTGTTATGGGCTTAACTTTCTCCCTCCCAGAACACAAATGACTGTGAGAATGGACATTCTCTTACGTGAGGTTGGCTCCAAACGCCCCTTCTACTGGTGGGTCATCTTTAACACTGCGTGGGGCTTTTGCTAAGTCTCCTGTCTCTTTTCTTCCTTCCCAGAGAGCCTCTTAGGTATCCCAGGCTGGCCTCAGTGAAGATGGACACTAACTCCTGATCTTCCTGCCTCTACACCCAAGTTCTGGGATTAGAGGTGTGTGCCACCATGGTGGGTTTACAAGGTACTGGGGATCAAACCCCAAGACTTCATGAATGCTAAGCTAGCCCTCTACCTTCGGAGCCACACCCGCCACCCTCGATTCTCTCCAGAGAGTCATAGGCACAATGCTACAAGCTGAGAAGCTGGGCCATGGTGTGAGTCCTGAGTCTCTGTCCAGGCGGTCCCAGGTCACCTGTCGTATCTTTGAACAGAGATCACAGAGGTCGCCACGCAAGGCCGGGGTCGCCAAGGCCCCCAGAGCTCCTAACTCACCGTCTCCTTTTCCCGGAGCTCGGACTCCAGCTGCTCAATCCTGCTCTTCAGCTCGGTGTTTTTCTCCTTCTCCCGGTTTATCTCGCCGCACTGGTCTTCCAGCTGCTCGATCTTAAAGAACACGACAGTTCAAGCACGAGCTCGCCAAGACCTCTTTTGTGCTTTCGTCTCAAATGAGGCATAGGCTACCCCACTTCCATACTCTCCACAGACAGGTTCCATGCAGCTCCCCTGAGCCGTCTGGCTCTGCTTGCCTGAGGCGGCCAGGGCCAGTACGTCATGAAACGCGGCCTACGTGCTGGGCTTCTGGGTTTCTTTATGACCACAGAGGAGTAGGTTCAGGATTGCTTTATGGATCTGTCACAGGCCAGAGGTCCCCTGAACCGATCTGCTTTCCCCAAGAATGGCTTTGACATCGCTTTAATCATGTTCGGAATTACTCGGTTTCATCTCAAGGATTTGAGAGGGCAGCAGAATTTAGCAACGCTACTGGACAGGAAGTCAAAGATCTCTCAATCTCCGCACATCACAGCAGGGTCCTGCCTGGGGAGCAGTGTATGGGAGTATCATCTTCAAGACGAACTAGTACAACCCAGGACTGCATCTTCTCGTGGGCTTGACCCTGCAAAAGGGCTAACCAGGCAGAGGGGGCATACAGAGCCCTAATACTGACACCGTCATCAGTTGCTCAACGTTTCTTGGAAACCTGAACGTGTGTGCTGAGTGGATGGCAGGAGCAGAGCCAACATACAACCCACAGCAGACACCCTGCGTTGCTACACCCAGGCAATGCCGGTCTTTGACAGGAGGCCTCTTCCCAACAGTGGCCACACCAGCCCTCGGGACCTGAACACTCAGCCCTGACACCAATGATCCCAACTTCTACCACCAGCCTGAAACCAGCACCCAAAGAGCTCATGCTAGGGAGGCCCACGCCTTCCCGGGCTCTGGTGACATTACCCTCTCATCTCTGGGCTCTGGTGACATTACACCTCTGGGCTCTGGTGACGTTACACCTCTGGGCTCTGGTGACATTACCCCCACACCTCTGGGCTCTGGTGACATTACCCCCACACCTCTGGGCTCTGGTGACATTACCCCCACACCTCTGGGCTCTGGTGACGTTACCCCTCACCTCAGCATTGCATCTGACTATCATGACCAGAGTGAGAGATCATCTGTGCTTACACAGGAGCAATCAATCCCTCCCGAAGTCAGATCAGCTCAGGCTCAGATAGGAACACACAAACTCAGCAACTGGCCCAGCGCCCTGACTGTTGGCATCCTCACCTCAGGGATGGAAAAAGGACATGAGGCAGCTCTGTGGGCAATTAGCACTCAACAAAGGTGGCAACGTGGGGTCCACCTCAGTGGCTCTGCACAGGCCGGTCAGGGCAAGGGGCACATGGGGGCCAAGGGACAGGTCCCCCCAAACCCTGCACTTACGGAGCATTCTCTGAAGCCCTCTGGGCTCATACCTAGTATAGTCTAAACAGAAACCGGAGAGCCTCTACAGGGGCATCTCTGAGTGTCCCAAACTACTGGATCAATGCCACAAGAGAACAGAGGAGACCGACCACAGGGCTGGTTACAGGGAAACTTTGAGCAAATTTAAACCCCCAGTCATCAAAGTGGGACAACAGAAAGCATTACACAGTTGGCACCCATCTTTCTCCTCTTTCAACATAGATTCCTCTTTTTGCTTTCAAATTTCTATTTTTGGAGATAATGATTTGGATGGGAGCAGAGTTTCTGTGCAAACAGACTCCTCAGCATTCTGGATCAATTTTCTCATTTAACCTTGGCTTCCCTTTCCTCCACTGGAGAGCCCAAGCCACAGACACTAAGGGACGGTCATCTACAGCAAAGGCCAGCCTGGGAGGAATATGGGGGAACCCTTGAGAGGGGGTCTGGTTCACTCATCTCTTCCTTAGCAACAGAAATTCAAAGTCGATAATTTACATCATTGATGTCCTACTAAGAAAGGAAGATGTTCAAGGAGAAGGTAAAAATGTCTCCTCCTGCCCGTGGAGTAAGGGCACAGAGAGAGAGGGAGGCGAAAGAGGAGAGAGGCAAGGGGCCTTCAGGTGACCCATCTCCTCCGGCTGCCACTGCGGCTGGCCAGGCCCCCGGTCCTGCTGAAGCCCACCTTGCTGCGGAGTCGGTCATTCTCATCACGACAGATGGAGAACTGCCTCTTCCACTGCTCCACGCTGGCCGCCGACTCCTGCAGGGCTGTGGTCAGCCGGGCGTTGCTCTCCCGCAGGGTCTGCAGCTCAATCTCCCACTTCTTTACATTGGCAGCACTGTAGGGGTGACAGGTGACGGCAGAGATTAGGAGCAGTGTTCACTGTCTGTCACCCTGCGCCTCCATTTGCTGGGGAACGGGAACTCTGCCACCCCTCCGCTCACCCAAGGGAAGCTCAGCCTCTTGTCTCGCAGTCAGCACCAACTGCCAAGGGGGACTGGAGTCTCTCTCTAGTGTGAACATGTCCCCTGACCCAGCCATTTTCTTGAAGAGTTGCCTTGAACAGGGGCCAGGATACCTCCATCCTTAAGAGCCTCCCGTTTCACCTTTGATTTCTGTGCTCGGAGAAGCCCCTCCCAACAGTGAGGATCCAGGTTCTCTCGGCCACCACACCCTTTTGTCCCCTTTCATTTCTGTCTTAGAGTCCAGCACGGAGTGTGACCTCACGTGATGGAGCAGAGCCAGACAGGACAAAGCCGTAGAACGTTCTGCTGATGGTTGGAGTGACAGCTTCGTCTACAAAGCGCTTGTCACATGGGCATGAGGGGCCGAGTCTGATTTATAGCATGATGTAAAAACCAGGAGCAGCGCACATGTCTGTAAACCCCGTGGTGGGAGGCAGAGGCAGGAGGATCTCTGGGTCTTGCTGGCGGTATAGCCCAGACGATTGATGACCTCTAGGTTGGGTGAGAGATCCCACCTCAAAAAAAAAAAAAAAATCACAACAAACAGAACAAAATGGGAGCCAGGCATAGTGATGCACGCCTTTAATTCCAACACTGGAGAGGCAGAGGCAGGTGGATCGCTACAAGTTTGAGGCCATCATGGTCTACAGAGCAAGTTCCAGGACAGCCAGAGCTACAGGGAAACCCTGTCTTAAAACAAAACAGAACAACAAAAATGGGGCTGGATAAGAGTAATGACTGTAAAAGCAAGAGGACCAGAGTTCAAATCCCCAGCACCCATGAAAAAGCTGGGCATAGGTGGTCACATGTGCCTGCAATGCCAGCTCTGAGGGGCAGAGACGGATGCATCACAGAGACTGGATGGTGAGCCAGCCCAGCCGAATGGGGAGCTTCTGGTTTCATCAAGGAGCCTTGACTCAAAAACTAAGGTGAGAAGTGACAGAGGAAAATGCCAGCATCCCCTTTTGGTTCCTGTAAGTACACATAGGTGCAAGCCATCCACATGCGTGCACATGCCCCAGACACACAGACACGCGCAGAAAGTCAGTCTCGCTCTCTACAGACACAGTAATTCCGCGTTCGTCTCCGAGGTAGATGACTTCTGAGGAACAACATACAAAGTTGACTTTTGGCCTTCACATACATATTCTCTCTATATATCTCTTTCTCTCTCTCCCTCTCCCCCCCCCAAAATGCATGCACACCTGCACACACAGGAACGTGCACACACATACACAAAGAGAATTTCTGCCCAGCAGAGAAATGCCCATTTTCTAATAACTGAAAGAAAACATTTAGATAAATACTCTATACCTGAGCCATATGTTATCTTTCTAGCTACTGCCTCATGAATCTATGATGTGACTGGAAAATGCATGCTTTCGGCTTTAAATGTGACACATTGAATAAAAAAATCCTAGCAAAATGTTTTTATCTGCTGAGTTTTAGAGGCGATGAGTGTCCGCTAAGTGACAGTTTAGGGGAACGGCTTCATGGCTATTCCTTTACCTTTCTTTGCACTGAACTCGGATTTAAAACATTTATTTTTGGGGTTGGAATATTTTCATCTGGACATCCCACTGTGAGTTAAATAACCAAAAATAGGCGAGAAAGGAGGACCGGTCAGCTTTGTCTTTGAAGCATCTAAAAAGAGGCGGCACCAGACGCAGAAGGTGGGATTGAAAAGTCTCCTGTGCTCTCTGGAATTTCTAGGTCAGCTCACAGGAATTAAGTTCCATATGGCAGCCAGGATGCTGAGCAACGGCAATGAATGACAGCCCTTTTGGGGTCTTCAGCTGGGCTGCGGCAGCGGGCTGCGGAGACTATCTGCAGAGGTAAGTGCAAACACGGTAGTCCTGGGATGGTGGGCAGGAAGTCACTTTACTGCGTCTAGTTTCCTCAACAGTCCAGCGGGGAAATTAGACGGGACGGGCCTGAAGGTGATCTGCCTCTGACATGGGGAAGTCTGGAGAGAGGAGAGAGCCCTCTTAGCCATGACAGGAGACTGAGGGCATCTCCTCAGCTAGGTGCACAGAGTAATTCTGAAAGTGTCAAGCCAGTCCTGAAGACCCGGAAACACAAGGGCAGCTTGTGTTGTCATCTGACATCTAAGACTTTTTGGCATCAGTATTGGGATCATGTTAACGGGCAGAACCACCTAGAAGAGACCAAAACCTTGTGAACAACCCAGGCTTCTTACCCCTTCTCGGCAGAAAGCGCCTGTGTTTGAAGTGAAGGGGCTGCTGTCTCTGATTTTATCAACACATTATATTCACGCCTATGCAATAAATATGTAGAACGATGTGTTAACAACAAATGTTTTTTAAAGATCTGTGGTTTTATTCATGTATGTGTGTGTGTGTGTGTGTGTGTGTCATGTGTGTGCCGGGGCTCTCAGAGGCCAAACGAAGTGCTAGGTTCCCTGACGTGGAGTTACAGGCAATCACGAGCCACCAGCGTGGGCTTTGGCAACGGAACTCATGTTCTCTGTGAGAACAGCAAGTGCTCTCAATGCTGAGCCATCTTTCTCATCTCCATACATTTTCCCCTCTCTTTTTCCCCCATAAATATTTTTAAAGACAAGAAGTAACGTATCTTTGTATTAATTTTTTCATCTGTGACCCTCAGAAATCACTTTAAAGAGAGAGGCGTTTATGATCCCAGCACTGGCGAAGCCGAGGCAGGAAGACCAGGGGTCCAAGCCTACCCTGAGCTACAGAGTGAGGTTAGGGCTTACTTACTTGTGTTAAGACCCTGTTTCAAAACAACAATAACCACGTGCTCCACGCCATCCTGGACATTCCTCACCAATGTTTTTCAGTTATTTATTTATTTATTTTGGTTTTTCGAGACAGGGTTTCTCTGTAGCTTTGGAGCCCGTCTTGGAACTAGACCAGGCTGGCCTTGAACTCACAGAGATCCACCTGCCTCTCCCTCCTGAGTGCTGGGATTAAAGACGTGTGCCACAACCACCTGGCTCCAGTTAATTTTATAAAGAAAACCTCTTTTCCAAATATTCTCCTAGGAATGCTATTTATTTTGTGTGATCTCATTATTTTTCATGGTTTTAGAATTTTTTAAAAGCAGAACTGAAGGGCATTTTCGCCTAGATCTGAAGCCCAGATGTAACAGAAAGGCACAGGGCACACCTGAGAGTGTGGCTGAGGGCTTTTCAAAGACAGCTGACGTTTCTTAGGGTTTTATAGACTTCTCTGGGGTGTTTAACTCTTTCTTGTCGAAGATGAATAAATGTCAAAGGTTCCTCTTCACAAACAAAACACAGACTCTCACACGCATTCACACATAACTATATCCTCCACACACACACTGGCTCAGGCTGACACACTCATACACACTGACTGCCACTGGTCGGTGGCATCAACCGGTCTTCGTCCTCTGACCAGGAGGTAAACTGAGGCACGGAGCAGGACAGTCTTCTCTTCCAGCTCCTGACACCCTGCCCCGCGGGGAAGGCCTCCAGGAAATACAGAGCATAAAGAAGAGGGGGTGTGGGTCGGGAAGCAGCCTCACCTCTGTGTCAACGCGATCTTCAGCTTGTCATTCTCAGACTTGAGGTGTGTGTCGGCCGGGCTGGCATGGGAGGCCTTCTCATCGTCCGTTCCGTTGACGCTGGATGCCTGAGTGGAAGACGGGGTTTCACACCCAGATTCCTGGCCAAAGTGAATTATCTTCACATGTTACTGCTTGTCCTTATATTGGCAGCAAATTAGGCATAATGAGAAAATACGTGCTTATGAGTCTGGACAAACCGATCATTGAACCAGAACGCAGTGTAGACTAGTCGGCAAAAAGGTTGACCAAGACAACCAATCCCAGGGCCCGCAGTGAACACGCCACAGGAAGTTCATAAAGCCTGCAATTTACTGATGAGATAAGACCTGGGACCACCACTCACAGATTCTTAATTCAGACTTTATGTTCCTATTTCCTGTGTTCAAGCTCTCCCAAGCTTGAATGTCCAGTCTCCTGAAATACCCCGGCACAGAAGTTACAATTGTCAAAGGGATTGCTATATACAATAAGGAGCCCCAGGAGTAGCAAATCCTTGAGGCTACAGAAAGTATCATAAACAGAGACAACGTACAGCTCCTGGCTAGGAGAGCTAGATCAACACATTTATTAAAAACACAGGAACCAGATATTGTGTTTGCAGGTTTCAATACTGTTTAGCATCCTTATGAATATCCTGAAGTGTCTTTTTGTAATAAACCAAGCCACCAGGAGGAAGAACTTCATCTAGTCTTGAATAAGATCTGAGATCCTATTTAGCCTCCAGTAGGCATGAAGGCAACTAAAGGCAGCACAAGGAGAATGCATAAACCTGACTAACTTAAATTTCTGCATTACAAAACAGAAACCATAAACAAAATTAAAATGCAAATGAAACCCCAGGGAAAATATATGCAGTAGGCATTGGAAGTGAAATTTAAATATCTTTTCTTGAGTCATTTTTTTAAATTAAAATTAAGATTTTATGTACATGTGTGTAGGGTGTGCACACACGCAAACACACACAAGCGCGCACAAGCAAATACGCATGTGGAGTCAGGGAACAACTTCCAGGAGCCCATTCTCTTCAGCTGCAGGGTCCTTGGACTCAACTGATGTCATTCAGTCCATCGGGCTTGTACGGCAAGTGCTCTTACCCGCTGGGCCATCTTGCTGGCCCAAGACTCCTCAATTTTTAGAATTATATACTGAGATATCTTTAGGTGTATTCAGATATCTTTGATTTCCTTGAAAACATGGAACAGGGAACAGAAGTAAGGGCCATAACAAAACAACTGGTCACTGAGGTTCATGATTCAGTATACATCCAAGTATCTAAAGTCAGCAGCCGTGGCTGTCTGACCAAGGCTTGCATATGATCAAGCCAGTCAAGAGTCTGGCATGGAGGGTGGAGCTCAGGGGCCCCTACTCCTAACTAAGGAGCTTCTGACAGGTGGTGTTTTGTGGAGGACGGAGATTGAGTTTTCTTTAAGGATGTGGCTCCTGGTAGGTCAGCCACGCTCCAGTGGACAATCTCACATCCATAAGTGTAAGGGCAGCACAAACCGGACTTGGTGGGTTATAGAAAGAAAGGAAAGTAGGAAGGAAGGGAGGAAGGAGGGAGGGAGGGAGGGAGGGAGGGGGAGAGAAAGGTCAGAAGTTAGGAGGGTAGGTGGGGGTGGATACGGGAGGAGTGGGGGTGAATATAATCAAAATCTATTGTATGAAATTCTCAAAGAATTAGTAAAAATATTGCATTACATATTTAATAGTATACAACTTGTCAAATCAACAAGTCTTAGTGCGGTGTGGGACGGGAAAGTCTTAGTCACTGCTGGTGGGAGTTGGAACTGATCATCGCGGTAGGCTAAGAGCCGACACCTCAAGTCCTGTTTCCATCTCCGAAATTTATCCTGCAGAGAACGATCAAATGCTCACAGATGGGCAGGGATGCTTACAGCCATGGTATTTATGTTAATGAGAAAAACAAAACAACTAACTGCCCCAGATTGTAAGAGGTGAAAGGGATAAGTCACGATACAAACTGGTATATTACCTGGGCAATAAAGCAGTTTTGAAAGGGAATACTGAAAGTCAAGAGGAAACGATCATGACTTACAAAGTATTTTCATCAATGGTTAAAAGAGTAACAAAATATGTACTAGAAAGGTACAATAAAAACACATATTTTCACGGCCGGGCGATGGTGGCGCACACCTTTAATCCCAGCACTCGGAAGGCAGAGGCAGGCGGATCTCTGTGAGTTCGAGACCAGCCTGGTCTACAGAGCTAGTTCCAGGACAGGCTCCAAAGCCACAGAGAAACCCTGTCTCAAAAAACCAAAAAGATATTTTCAAATACTACCGACCTATCCTTCCATGCTGGCACAGCACACGGGTGTGGCTTGTTCTCCCGTGACGGGGTGGGAACACAGGACCTTGTGCTCGTCAGGCGAGCATTCTGCTCCTGAGCTGCAACCCTAGCCTGAGAGCAGGCCGGCTTCATTGCTTTCTCAACAGCAAGCTATGCTGTATGTAAGTGTCTTTGTACTCTGACTGCATAGCAATTTTCAACTATTTGAAAAACGTGGTTAGAGTGTTCATTCGTGGGAAAGATTCAGGAAGATCGGTGGCTGATTGTTGAAAGGAAAACAGACACCATCAGCGAGGATGCATAAAAACTAAGGCTTACGAGACAAAACCTCATTTCTACTTAATATCTTACGAGGCACACTTTATCTATAAAATGTGGTATTCAGGAAAAGGCAGTGTGTTAGAATTCTCTATACCAGGAACCATTTCTGTAGCTTTAAATATGCATGGGGCATGGGGGCTGGAGAGATGGCTCGGTGGTCAAGATACACATTAGTCTTCCAGAGGACCCCAGGACCCCAGCATGTGTATAAGGGATTTCTAACAGCCCGCAAACACCCGGTTCCTGTGGACCTGATGCCACTGCTCTCCTCGGTCACGCCTCAACATGTGACATACAGATACACATATGCATGTTCTAATTTAAACATAAGTTAAAAAAAGAGAAAGATAGAGAAAATGTCTATAGTTTATACCCACATTTCCAAACCAAGAACTCAGCCTGTGTGATTACTCAAGATACTCCACTAAGTCAAATTCTCACTTGGATTAAGGACTACTAAGAAAGGTCCAGGGAAGTTCCTGTCCATCTGAGGCCTGGCATAGATTCCGTCCCATAAACCCACCCGGAGTGTCTTTTACTGTGGCAATCCCAGGACACAGTGTGGGCATGTACCTCAAGACAGGCCTAGGCCCTCCCCGTGTAGATCACCCCAGCCACCAAGTCTGCCACAAGCCTGTGCCCTGGTGGCTTCTCTCACCCTGAGTGATTGCTGGGTTCTCCTGTCAGGGCTCTCGCTCCTGACCTTCTCTTTAACTTACTCTTCCTAGGCCTTGACGATTCTGTTTGGCTCATGGCCAGGTTGGGGTTGAGCATGACTACTTCAGTGTGCCTGGTCTTCCTGGCTCCTTCCTGGGAGCTGCCCCCTCCGGCCAATCCTTCTCATTGTACCACAGCTGCCCAGGCCAAACCACCACCCCCGCGCCCCCCTCCCCGCGGCCTCCTGAGACACAGTGAGCTCTTACATCGTCCTCACTCCAACTCCACATCACTAGCTGTATAACAACCCTGATGTCTGCTGACGGCCTAGTCAATGAAATGGATTCCCCGGCTCACAGCATCTCCGGGCTTTATCTCCACACCTGATGCCGAAGTGTGCAAGGCAGACATCCAGGTTGTCTGGCTCAGCCACCCCTGCTCCTACCTATAAGATGGCCGAGCCTTCGCTCATCAACAAAGACACCAGGCATGCTGGTTCTTTTCTAACTCTCAGGTTAAATGGGTCTGTTATAGCCATTATCATCACATTTTTAAGCAGACAGGCTAATCAAATCCTAGCACAGCCAGATCTCTTCAGACTTCTAGCTTGCAGGGGGCGGAAGCACCTCCCACCTATCTTTTGTTAAGATGGGGAGAGGCTGGAGATCTCCCTGAGACAGTGTTTGCTCTAGTGAGCAGAAGGTGCCCGCTGGCACTGAAGAGCATCCCACTGTGGACTTCCCAACAGTCAGTAAACACTGCCTCACCACTCACACCGCCTGTCCTCAAGGTTGCTGGAATTCTAGAAAGCCCAACACTGCCCTTGACCTAGCAGGATGGGCCTAACATGGACACTGTGCACTAACCAAGCCCCGCCCCCGCCCCCTTGCAATGCTGGGCACACGCCTGGTCTTGAATACTAAGACAGTGTTCTACCAACATGCTACACCCTGACCTTTAAACACGGTCACCGCACAAGCCCTTCGCGGCCCGGGGACAGGCAGCTCTGACTGTATCAACAGCTCTCTGTCAAGAGTCGAGTACTATGCCTGAGAAATCCCAAAGCCTCATAAACGTGAGTCGCTTCATCTTGCTGAGAGCAGGCTAATCGTTGAAAAATGCCTCCAGATTTTAGCCCTGCTGCTAAAATTACCCACTTCTTGCCAAGAGCGACAAGGAAGAAGGAATCTCAATTACTGATCATCCCTCCCCCCCCCATATTTATTTTAGGGACAGATGACTTACTTGGGAATGATTACTCGAGGTCTCGATCTTCTCCTGGGACTTGTCTCTCGCTAGCCTGGCAGCTTCTTTCACCTCCTGGAACTTCTCTGCAAACTGAACACACAGACCAGTTATCATCAGGACTGACTTTAATCTCATCCCGGCCATACCCAACAGCCATCTTTATTATCCTGTATCCATTGTAAGCCTATAAATTCTGTACAAATGGCAGAAAACCTTTAACTGTCATTAAAAGGACAGAGATAAGAAAGCCCCCTCCTTCCAATAAACACAACTGGTCACGGTCACCCTGGGAGCAGTGTCAAAGTTACAGGTGCTAACTGGATGCAGTAACTAAGAGAAACACACGTTTTAAATCCTCTGGTTAAAGGGACTTGATACAAAGGCGACACAGAAATAGAGCCTTCCTGCACTGAAGAATCTATTTTGAGAGTTTGAGAAAACCCACAAACGCCATGGGAGGGACTCAAGAACTTGGAAGTTAAAGCCATGAGAAAGGAAAGCGAGGCTGGGTTTGGTGGCGCATACCTGCACCCCCAGAATGTGGGAGGCTGAGGTGATAGAACTAAAATCTCAAAGCCAGTTCACGTCATACAAAGAGGTCTAGAGCAGCCCGATATAAATAATCAGACCCCAACAAGCAGCAACAACCACCACAAAAATGAACACCAAAAATGGCAGGGGGGTAGTTTCAGGTACAAAACAGGAAAATGCAATAAACAGCCCGTGACTAGCTCTTTAATTATTACATAATTTGGTTTTCAATGCTTTGGCAAGAGAGACAACACGGGACAAAATGCTAACGTGATGGTTAACCTTCACTGTCTGCTTTGCTTGACTACCTTGGCAGCCACCTAGGAGACATACCTCTCTGTACATCTGCGAAGTGTTTCCACGGAGGTTTGACTGAGGTGGGAAGACACACCCTGAGCATAGATACCATCCTGTATACTGGTCTCAGAAGACATAAAGGCGGTGGGGGCCGAGTACCAGCATTCTCTCTGCTTCCTGTCTACAGATGCAAAGGGACCAGCAGCCACTTCCCGTCTTCCCTACCCTGACAGACTGCATCCTCAAAGCCTGAGCCAATAGAAAGCCTACTTTAGGTTGCTTTGATCACCGCAGTAAGAGAAGGAATTGATACTAGGAAAATTGAAATCTAGGTGATAGGTGCAGTGTTTATTATTATATCGTCTCTATTTTGAAAAATGTTCTAATATTTCCATAGTTTAAAAACCCTAAAGCCAGGGCCAGAGAGATGGCTCAGCAGTTAAGATCACTTTCTTGTAGAGGACATGAATCCTAACGCCCATGTCAGGTGGCTCACACCCACGTGGAACTCCAGCCCCAGGGGACCCCACACCCTCTTCTGGGGTCTCTGTGCACTGCAGTCAGGGCACAAATGCACACTCAGATACACACAGACACATAATTTAAAGGAAACATTTAAAGAATCTTTTTAAAAATCCTAAAGTCACAGGTAAATCCTATCGGTTGCTGGCTCAATAGTCACTGACTGGCGAGAGGACTGACTTCCGTTAACAGAACGCTGTTAGCACAGAGAATGACTTAACAGACAATGCCGGTGTTATAAACCAGGGGAGGGTAAAAATGGCAACACCGGGAAACAAGAAAAGCCAGCAAGATACACGACCCTGACATTTCTTGGACTTTTGTCAAGTGCTCATTTGGGGTGAGCACAAGCTCCCTTCTCTGAGCAGCACTGGGAACCCCGACAGACAGTGGGTGCTGGCAAGCCCAGAGCCTGCCCCATCCCAGCAGCGAATAGCATCCTTCCTGTTCAAGCCTGCGCCCCCTGCAGGCCTACTAACCAAGCTACAGACATGGGGCTTCACCATGTCTTGACCAGTCAAAAGAAAACTCACTTTACTTGCTGCTTAAAACAGAGGGGACTCATTGGGGATGGAGACCAAGACTCCCTCTCTGGAGAACCCCTGACGGGGAGGGGCCCTGCTTCTCCTTCTGGTAAACTGCCCCTCGCCCCCTCCCAGCCCCAGGTATATGTGGGTTTATTCCTGAATGAGTTCTCGCCTACTGAGAAGGAAACAGTCATGTCAAAGACTTGGTCCCTCTCCACAAAGGAACTCTAAGTTTGTAAAGGACTCTGCTTACATTCAATAGACACAAACTAAGAACGAAATTCCAGGAAAAGGGGTTTTAAAGTAATAAAAGAGGAGGTTGGGGCTAGAGAGACGGCTTACAGCTGTCGAGAGTACTTGTTGATCTCGCACAGGGCAGGGTTGGGTTCCCAGCACCCACAAGGCAGCTCACACCTATTTCTATCAGTGTCAGGGGTTCTGATGCCCTCTTCTGGCCTCTTCAGGTACTGCATGCAGATGGTGCTCATACATACACTCAGGCAAAACACTCATACATGTAAAATTAAATTATAAAAATACATATTTACAATCAAGAGAAGTCCCACAGATACATTTTAAAATGCTCACTTAAAATATATTACATGTTCAGATATACAATAAGCTATGCATGGTAGCTCATGCCCATAAACTCAGGCTGAGGCAGGAGGATTACTGAGAGTTCAAAGTCAGTCAGCCTTGCATACACAATGAGTTCTAAGACAGCCTGGACTATAATGTGAGACCTTATTTTAAAAAAAATCCCCAAAACAACAACAAACAAAACAGAACAAACGGATCTACATGTTATCAGCTGATACAGGATGGAGTGGAACGAGCCACGAGAACAGATCTCTATCAACTGAACAAGCAGAATAATCTTCCTGTTGATGTGTGTTCCCCTCCTGCCGTAAGCTCGGTTTTGTTCAGTTGTTTTAAGGCCACCATGAGAAAAACCAACCTTAAGACACCAGGCCAGTGCGAACAGAATTAAGCATTTATCTGCTGCCTGAGGGCTAGGGGAAACTGTCTAAACTTGGAGGCCATGGAAGAAAAATCACGGACGTGACAGGTTTGACTATGTAACCTGAGTAGAGGAACAGAAACAACTACAACAAAACGAACCAAACAAACAAACAAAACCAAAACCCCTGACTCAGACGGGAAACAGCAGCCCGGAAACATTCCCTCAGCCAGGACAGGACAGGACAGCAGAGAAGAAGAAGAAAAAAAAGATCATTATTTTTTCACAGAGTTTGTACAAGATAAAAACGCCAATAGATAAATGGAAAAATTCCTGAGGAAAAATACATACAGTAAATAAACAACCTCTGAGGAGGGTTGCTCGGCCTGGCTGGAAATTTGAAGCAAAATAATGAAGTGCTGTTCTTTGCCCGTGAAATTAGCACACACTAACTACAATCATAAACCCCGGTGCTGGCAAGATCCTTCTGGTGGTGTGTTTTGGTACAGCCCCACTGAGAAGCAGTTTGGAAGCACATATTGTAAGTGACAAAAACATTCATACCTACTGACGCAGAGATATCGCTTCTGGGAAGCTGCAGAGAAGGTAATTGAGAATATGAGAAAAGGGGCCTTCGATATAATCATCATTATCCTAGCATTATCTACAGTAATGAAAAACTGGAAGCCATCCAAGGCCTGCGGGGCTGGCAGGAGAGCGGTCCCTTCACAGCCTCCAACTGCTGGGAGACCAGAGGCAGGCTCGAAGTTCCCAAAAAGTTATCGCTGGCAGAGACCGCCTCCAGGTCCAATATTTCTAATATGTCTCCTTGTCTATATTACAAAGCACATACACTCGTAAGCCTGGGAAAATGCTGTTTTAGATTTTCGTGTCTGTGTGTGCATGCGGAGGTCAGGATGGTTTGTGCAGTCAGTTCTTGCCTTCCACTTTTATGTGGGTCCCGGGGATTGAACTCAGGATGTGTGGCAAGTGTCCTTACACCTGCTGAGCCATCAGTAGCCCCAGAAGATGTTTCTAGAACCTGTGGTCTCATCAGACATGAGCACCAAGCACATACGCTTTCTATATGTATTCATCTTCTAAAAATGAAATGATATTGTGTATCTCACTTACAATCACTTTTGAAATTAATAATAGGGCCTCAATACTTTCAATCATTTATACGATCTTCTACTAAATTATCTTAATTTTTGTACAATATTTTTCTTGAAAGGTACACTGGACTATTTAATCAATTTCCTTTTTTTTTTTTTTTTTTTTTAAAATACAGGGTCTCGCTGGGTAGCTCTGGCTGGCCAGGAACTCACTGAGATCTGCCTGCCTCTCCCTCCTGAGTGCTGGGATTCAAGACATACATCACCACGTCCAGGTCACCAGTCCCCTTATGTTGGACTTTTTAGTTTGTCTGTCTCTTTCTCTGATCCTGCAAGAAATCCCCGTAGCCGCTGCATCCTGCCAACAATATTTCCTTACACCTACTCATGGATCGAAGGAGATTCAAAACAGAGTTTTCTGAAATACATTGCCAAATACATTTTTTAAAATTCTGAGATCATTTTCTCAAGTTGTAACAATTTAAATCAAAATTATCATTTATGAAAAATGAGACTATTACCGTTTGATCTTACGTGCCTCTGCTTTGGGGTGGGGGTGGGGTCGCTCTGGAAGACCTGAACCCTATTGTCTGCCTACTAAAAATTGAGTGTTTTCTTTTTTTATTAGCTTAACAGAATCTCACAGTTGCCTGGACAGTGAGGAGCGGAGCAGTCTAGGCTGATCATGGCCACCTACTTTACTATTTATTCTGGTGTGGCGGGCTGAGGACCAGGGCTGAGGACCCAGGGCTGAGGACCAGGGCTGACAGGGGAGCCAAAGACGATGCCTGTCCCAGTGTTTCTCAGGGAGTGTTGGGTACCACTCTCTGCTTTCTTCCATGAATGCAGATGTGTTGAGTGCAGCTTGAGAAGAACGATTGACAAAGGGTAAAACAAACAAAACAAAAGGCAGCAAACTCTCCGGCCCCACAGCCTGGAGCCAGGGTGTCTCTGCCACTGCTCCATCACCTAGTGGAAACACCATGGCCAAGGCCACTCATAGGAAAGGAAGCATCTACTTGGGTCCTCCTTCACAATATATCCTGAATGGGATCCGTTTGGACACAGCCATCTGTGAGCTGGGTGTGCACTACAGCTTCCTAACTGGTGACGCTTCCATCCGATGCCTCCAGCACATCTCTCCTCAGCACGGTAGGAAGGCGTGGTGGTGGACACCTATGATCCCAGCACTCAGAAGGCAGATCCACGAGGGTGACAAATCTGAGGCCAGTCCAGGCTACAGAGTGAAACCTGTCTCAAAAATACATACATACGTGCATATACATACATGCACATACATCCATACACATGTACACACATGCATGCACATACATATATATGTACATACATATATACATGCACACACATTGTTTCAGTCACTGTCATATTGCTATGAAGAGACACCAGGACCAAGGTAACACTTAAAAGGAAAGCATTTAATTGGGGACAAGCATGTGGGGGGTGGAAGGGCAGCTTGCAGGAGCTGTTTCTCTCCTATCACCATGTGCCCAGGGGTTGACTTCAGGTCATTAGACTTGGTGGCAGATGCCCGTAGCAACCAAGACAACTCATTGGGCCCCTGCCTTAGTTTAGTTTTTGTTGATGAGGTTAAAATACTCTGGGGGAAAAGAGCCACTTATGGGAGACAAGGTTTATTTTGACTCACAGTCTTATGTTATAGCCTATCACAGCGGGGAAGCAGCACCAGGAGCTTGAATAACTGGTTCTATCCACAGCCAATCGCAGAGAGAAATGAATGCATGCCCATTTGCTTGCTTGTGCTCGGCTCAGTTTCCCCAACTCTTACACTATGTAGGACCTCCTGCCTAGGGGATGGCGCTGCCCATGGTGGATGGGGGGGGGAATCTTTCCACATCAATGAAATTAATAAAGACAATCCCCTACAGACACACCCACAAGTCAACCCAACACAGATGATCCCTCATGGAGATCCCCTCAGCTGATTCTCCATTGTGTCGAGTTGACAGTTAAGGTAATCACCACACCCAGATTAAAGTATTAAAGCTGAAGGCAGTTATCACATAGGCGTGTGGGTTGAGAAGCATCCACCATAGAGCAAGGCCAACTCTATTCTGGGCCATTCGCCCTACTGAAAGAACACGTTTCCTCTGTCTGCAGTGAATGAGAAGGAAGCAAAGTCAGAATGGTGGGCACGTGAGGTCAGATGCCAGAGAGACTAAATGCTAACGAGTCTTCTCCCTGGTCCACCTCCTTTGTCTCTTTCTATGACTTCTTCCTAGCAGAGAAGCCACGCTCTGTCCCAACAGCAGGCTGAAGTATCATGACTTCTCCAGGGGACACACGGATCCCAATTCCATTTCGGGAATATACAGCTTTTATTATTTTTGGAAAGCCTGTCTATAGAGCAGAAAGTTTCCGCCTGGTACTTCCTGGGCTGTGGCTGCTGAGCGCACTTTCTAAATGAAAGCTAAGAACAAGGTATCTATTTTCTTTCTGGGGGTTGGAGAGAGAAGTTCACAGAAAGCCTTCCTAAGTGAAAATGTCCACACTGGTGTTTCATTGTCCAGCCCACAACGTCTGATTACTGATCCCCCTGCAGGTCTGTGGGCGGCTGTGCGGCTGCACGGAGAAGGCGGGAATACTGAGTCACAGCTGCCCTCCAGCACACAAGCCTCAGGAACCCCTCGGGCCCAGGTTCCCTCTGGGCGAGCTAATTGCCGCTTGTCGCGGCTGCTAGCCTCTATTCGCGGCAATTTATCAGTGTGTGGTTAATCGTTGCCTTCAAAGAGAAAGGAAACGCTGATTTGAAATATGTTGGACAAAGGACATATTTGAGAGCTTGCTTCAGAAATCTCTGCGATGATGGCAGGCCACAGTCAGAGCCGAGATGAGACCGCTGCCAGAGCCCCGGGTGACTCAGGAGGACGGGACACTCCTCCTTAATAACAGGACGAGTTCTTTGTCTGGGAAGAACGGGAAGTAGCATGGATCAAGGTCTTTTTGGTTCTCCAGGGAAGGAAGAACTGAACTTTCACACCTTGTTCTACTTCTGTTTGGAGCTTTCCTTTTGATGTTTGCTCGCTGATGTTTTCTTTCCCCTTTATCTGTCCTCACTACTCCTTTCCTCTTCGGAGTGAAAGAGATTGGACCGGGAAGCTGGGAGTGCTTCTTTCCGACTCTCCTGGGCTCCGGGGGACTTCTGGCCCCAGAGAGAAGCAGAACCAGGTGCTGAGATGGGCCCAGACATGACTAGATGCTAACCCAGCAGCCTGAGGCCTGCAGACACGAAGAAGGTGTAGGGGTGAGTGCTGGGCATGATAAAGGGGCTCCCTGGCATCTCCTCTCTCTAGCAGGCAGCTTTGTGGGATGGAAACCACACAAAGCCCTGCTCCACTTCAGAGAGGCCCTGGCCACTCATTCTCGGGCACCATAGCTGATTCTGCACCCCTCCCCCACTACAGAAGACACTGTTCCTATCCGTTCTTCATCAGCCCAGAGTCTTGGCCTCCCCTCATCTGTCTGATTAAGTTCTGCCAATTTTTAAAAATTCGTAAAAATTCTCCATCTCTTACTCAAATCGTCATCAGCTCTACCCTGGACTGAATCCAACGCGCTTCCAGGAAAGGAAAAAAAGAAAAAGAATATCTGGAATGCAAATCTGATCACTTTACTTTGGGGGCTAAAATTCTTCAAAGGTCACAGAATAAAGTCTAGAAACCCCAGCATGCCCTGTAAAGACCATCCAAAAGCAGTTTCTAGGAGTCAGATCAGAGAAGACGCGGCCAGTGTCTGCAGCTTCCCTCTGGAGCACACGTCACAGTGCCTGGGCTGGAGCTGCTTCCTGCCCTTGGAATGACAATGGGACACCCCTGGGAGCTGCCGTGGGACACCCTACTGAGCCAAGCACTCTAGGAAGGTGGCCTAGAGTCAGATCTGCACTGGACCCTGGGAAATGGTCAAGGTCAAAGATGTAGGGGAGGGGAAGAAACAGAGCTGGACAATTTTGTCACAACTGGTGACAAAGAGACTTGGGATTAGCAATGTTACTGGGCTCAAGCGTAACCAGAACCTAAAAGCAATCTTATTCCGCGTGCCTGCCCCTTAAGAGGGCCCCACTCTTTCTTTAGAAGATAATCTTTCGAGCCATACAGCCTCAGGGCCCGGTGGGTGCTCAGGTACAGCCTCCTTAGGATCCAGTTTATCCAGAGATAAACCGGCCACGTGCCAGAGGAGAAAGTGTCACACATCCTATCCAAGACACAAGCCAGCTCTCCACGGTCACCCTGACCTCTGACCCCACAGAGCGTCCAGTTATTAAGGATGCAGCCATGAGCATCACGGAACACAGAGAACAGCTTGCTCTTGGAGCTGCAGGTCACACTGGGCCCTTGCTCCAGCGTGACCTTCACGAGAGATCACACTTCCGAGATCACACATGGCCACGCTTCTGCCAACCCAGCTCCTCAAGCCTTCATCCATCATGCTGCTGCAAACCTCGGGAGTCTGCGGAGACTGCAGCTTCCAGGCGGTCAGAGGCCCCTCAGGTCCCTGGACCGCTTTCCCAAGCAGAGCAGCAGGCTGGCACTGGGCTTATCCCTACTAGAGTATCCCGCCGGGCCAGAGTCACAGTCCACAGGTCCAGCACAGGGGGACGGGGCGGAGAAGGAGAGCCCCATCCCGATAGCCAGTGCTCATGGTCTGCTCCTCTTTTCACTGCTGTGACCAAACACCTGCCAAGAAACAACCTAAGGGAGGAAGGGGTTCGAGCTTAAAAAGGGGCGCCGGAGCATCATGGCTGGGAAGGCGTGGCAGTGGGCGGTGAAAGCTGGCCACGCCGTGAGTGGACAGGAAGTGAGGTCAACCTATAAAATCTCCAGGCTGGCTGGCTCCTAGTGACGCACTTCCTCCATCCGGGTCCCACATCCTGACACTTCTACGGCCTTCCCAAACAGTATGAGGCTTGGGGGGATAATTTCACATCTTAACTGTTCCTGACCTCAACACTTCTGCTGCTTGCCCTGTTTCTGGACTCTGTGATCTGGCGGGGGGTGGGGGTGGGGTATAGCCCTAGGAAATGATAAGTGGCCTAGTGGATGCCCAAAAAGTCACCAGGCCAGTCGAGCTTCTCAGGCTACCAAGAGAATGGCATTTATTGGAGGCGAACTTCCTTTCTTCCACAGATTGCTCAGTTTTCAAGGAGTCTGCTGTTTGAGAGAGACGCTCCCTTGCCCACAGTGCCACGTGCCGGAAGGCACTTACCTTGGTGAGCTGCTGCTCTGAGGAGAATCCCAGACCGAACACTGTGTTGGCTCTGCTGTCTGCCCACTGCCCGAACTTCTGCGAGGTTTTGGTGAACGTCATGTTCGGGGTGATGGTGCTGTTTATGATCACCTGCAGGAGACAGCCCAGAGAGGAAGGGTGTTAGCTGTGGACGGACCCTTTTCTCCCGACAAAGGCCATGGCTATGGGATGCTTCCTCTGTCCTGCTGGATTTGCTCCTGGGCTGTTCTTACCAGGGCAGACACAACACCACAACAAAGGGCAACTCCAGACGCTTCGCAATAGAAGCCTAAGATAGACCTTTCATAAAACCAATAGGAAAACATCTCTCCTGAGAACTGTTTCCAAAACTGGTGTTTTATTGCCTCACCGATGCCAAGTATCAAAGTTCCCTTAAAGGCTGGCCATTTGTGGCCCTCCCCCACACCCCACCTCCCTTTTGAATTCCCAGGCACTCTAAAAGCCAGCCGAACCAGTTAATACTTCCACCAGCCTTTGCTTCCCAAGGGGAAGGAGAAGATTCCCATCTGGAGCGTAGGTAGGGGGTTAATCAATAGTAGACTAGCCATACTGGTGTGAGCGGGGAGACTGTAAGGGATGGCTCAGGGGCCTGGCACTGGCTGTTACCACCCCTTGGCCTCAAATGAAGAAAGAAGTGGAGGGTCCATGCGGTCTATGTGTTTTCTAGCTTTGTATTTCTGGTTACCAGAAGGGCTGCCATGAAGTTACTGTCAATGTTTTGAAGGAATGAATGCAGCGCTCACTAGATGGCCCTTGAGTCGGTCACATCCATATCCTGAGGGGTTCTCTGGATGCCAGTAGATAGAGGCTGCTCGGAGCGAGCGTAGCACTTGGCTCTCAAGCTTTCTCAGAGTTCACCACACTGCAGTAGCTCTTTAAAACTGAACAGTTTCTAAGTTATTTCACCTAATCTTATCTTTAAAGAAGGGGAAACTGAGGCTCAACAAAGTCAAGTGGCTTGTTCAAGGTCACAAACCAGCAAGTGGTTAGAAGGATGTGGTTAACTGATTTCAAGGGCAAGACCTATTCATCCTGCTTGGGGATGAGCTCAGCTTCTTTGACCTATGAACTTAGCAACTTTGGGGAGCTCCCCAAAGTTTTCACAGATTGCTCCTGTGCAGTCTTTTTTCCTTGCCTCTTTCCACAACTCCAGTAATACATGCGCTAGACCTTATGAGTGTGTTAGGCCTGTTTTATGTTGACCAATTGCCACTGCCCTTCTCTCTTGGTTCTCTGTGGTTTAATTGAGACATTTTTTAAAAGATTTACTTCTTATTTTTAACTATGTATATGTGTTGGGAAAGACGGAATGTCTGCGAGCATAGATGCCTGTGGAAGTTAAAGTGCTGAATGCCCTGAAGCTGGAGAAAGAGTAATAGGTTGCTGTAACATGGATGCTGGGCTTTGAAAATGGGTCCCAAGGAAGAACACTATGTGTTTGTCTCCACTAAGCCATTTCTCCAGGCCCCGATCTGGGCATTTTTAATTGATCTGTTTTCTTGGCAGTTGATATAGTATATCTGCTGTAAAATCTACCCACTCAGTACCTTGTGGGGGTGGGGGCGAGGGAGGAACAAAGAGAACGGAGGAGTTTTAATTGGTTAGCTAGTTTTGCTTGGTAGCTCTGACTAGCCTTGAACTCACCATCCGCCTTCTTCAGCCTCCCCAGTTCTGAGATTCACCGCCATTCCTGCCTCCGCTGAGTTATTTTTAAAATCTAGCATATTCAGTGTTTGAAAAAATATATTCCAAAACCAGGCATGGTAGAGTACACCTTTAATTCCAGCAATTGGGAGGTAGAGGCAAAAAGATCTCCGAGAATTTGAGGTTCCCTATTTACAAATCGAGTTCCAGGTCAGTTAGGGTCCACTTCGTGAGATCTTGTCTTAATCAAAACCAATCCATCAATATTCTAAATCCGTGAGGATAGTCTTCCCTTTGCCCGTTTTGTTCATTTCCTCTCTGTTTCCTCAATAAATTGATGTATTTTTCAAAATCCTTGATGAAAACACTAACAGCTGGACCATCTCTGAATCTTTCATTATCTGGGCTTCCCCTCCTGACTCGAGGCATATGGTCCCAGATTTCTGCAGGTCTAGTCCTTGTTTTTAAATCTCATGCTGAATGCAAAGACTCCACAGAATGTGACCATCTGCCAGAGCACATTCCCCTTCCTCTCGGCTGGATGAATTAGGCAGACAGGAAATCCCTTCATCTCCTGGCCGGACTGGGTCAGGTTGGGTGTCAGCTCCCATGGGACTCAGTCTAACTTTGGTTCACTCCTGGACTTAGGACAGGCTCTTTAAGGATTCAACAGAGAGATCTTTATCTCCTCTGCCCTGAAGGACTGTGGAGAGTCGGGACTGTCCTTGAAAAGTTTTCAGCTTGCTTTTATTTTTTTTAATATTTATTTATTTATTTATTTATTTATTTATTTATTTATTTATTTATTTTGTATACAATATTCTGTCTGTGTGTATGGCTGCAGGCCAGAAGAGGGCACTAGACCCCATTACAGATGGTTGTAGCCACCATGTGGTTGCTGGGAATTGAACTCAGGACCTTTGGAAGAACAGGCAATGCTCTTAACCTCTAAGCCATCTCTCCAGCCCCATCAGCTTGCTTTTATAGCTTGTTAATTCCACAGACCTTCCCAACTAGGCCAACCTCCTATACTGGCTTCAGACCTTCTACATAGCTGAGCATGACCTTGAACTCCTGACACCCTGCCTCTACCTACCAAGTGCTGGGATTATACGAGTGTCCCACCACCCAGCTAGCAAATTGTGAAGGTGCCATGTGCTTGGGGTTACTCAAGTCTGCCCTCTGCCATTTAAGCAATGTGACCATCGAGATCTCCACTGGTCTCTCTACCCGTAGAAGGATTTCTGCAGGGCCCAGCTCTGCGCACAGCCTTGAGCTGCCCCAGTCCTTAAGTGTCCAGGTGACAGGGTGTGACGGAGCCCATTATCCCTGCATCCGGTCTCTGCTCTCTCTGAGGCCTTCATGGTTTTGTGTATTTTACACTGTACACTGTAACTTAAGAAATTGTCTTGGGTGGGGGAGAGGGGAGCCGACCACTTTGAAGTTCCTGAGTCTCAGTTTCATCTCTTTGGCCACTGCTAAGTGCTGATCCCCTCCCTCAGCAGGATGTCTGCCAGGACCCAGCCCCAGCTGTCAGCCTGTATCCAGAACTGGCAATGTCGATAGGAGGAGATCCGCCCATTTTGGCTGAGCAGGCCCATCTCTCTGGAATTTTGGTCTTTCTAGCCCTCAACGTTCTATAGATCTTTGATGCCCTCAAATCACATTTGTGGGGACAGGGACGTAGCACAGTGCTTGCTTCACGTGTTCCATGTCCCCAGTACTGCCCCCCAAAGTCGTATTTCTTCCACTTGTTACCAGAGAGAACCCCGGCCCAGGAGAAGCTACATAATTCACCTAGAAGCTAAGTGCTGAATCAGGACAAACTCAGACACATTTCACCATGTGCTGGGACATTATTCTGCCATGTTTACGGGAAGCATGCAATCTCTCATAAGGTTGCTGCTCACGGCCTACTGAGCCAAACCAGGCTCAGGCAATGCCAGCGTAGTTTGTTGGACAGGGTTTAAGCCCAGCTACTCTCCAAGTCCAGGAACGCCCTGTATTCATTCAAAGCAGGAATTCCAAGAGTACTCGCCACCCGCTCGTCTCCCTCCTCTTCCATCTGTAGCACGTCATGGAGAGCAGAACAAGGAGCTGTTGAACTGCAGCTCATAACCGCAGACTCCTGTCTCCTTCCCGCCTGTCTCCATGGGTCCTGTGTCTCCGTCTCTAACTCCAGGACAGCCCTTCTACCTGTACAATTATACTGTGGGCTCCCCTGGTAACAAAAGGGTTGTTCGTCCTTGGGATACAAAATGCTGACCTTGCAGAACTCGTGAGGATTTTGCAGAGGGGGCTGCAAGCATCCTCCCCGTTCCTCATTAAAAGGTCTGTAGTTACCAGTCCCTGTCGTCAGCATGAAGGTGCCAGCGCCCTTATCTAGGAGCTGGAGGAGAGCCAGGAGGGGGAAAGCGAAAGCCACACTTTCCACACTGCCCTTGTAACTGCTCACGCTGGCTGCCTGCGGCCTTCAGATGCCTTAGCTGGTTCTGAACCATTTACCCAAGGTTCTGAGACTTCCTAGATCTGGAAGAAAGGAAGAGAGGGGAGGAGAGGAAAGAAACAGTGGCAAGGAAGGCTACTAATCAGTACTACAGCGTCGCTTTCCTGTGCTTTAACTACCGAGGTGGTTAGTCTGAGCAGTGTCGCAGCCAGAGCAGTAGGTGAGACAGCTGGCTGGCTACCCTCCCAGAAAACCTAGAACATCCACCTCCGCAGGGGCAGCAGGAATGACACCCCCGCGAGCATGCTGTCAAAATATCCCCAGTCTTGGAATCTTCTTCCTTTTCTTGCCACTGACATGGGAACAGCCCCTGGCTGCACGGTCTTGTCCTTCAGACAGACTGGGTGGCAGCTGGTAGGGCCTGCTCCTTCTGCGCCTGCCCCTACCAGGCTCTGCCTGTCCCTCACGGCTGACCGTGTTTGCACCTAGAAGGCTTTGTATTTCTCCTGGTGACTCTTGAGCTTTGGCTCTTGCCCTTCTCAGGCATGGAGGAAGGAAGGAAAGAGTGTGAGCACAGACAGAAAGACCTTTAGAAAAACGACGTTTCTGTTTTTTGAAAAAGCACCTTGCTGTAGCCCAGGCTGGCCTTGAACTCGAGAACCTCCTGACTTAAGGCTCCCAGGTGTTGGATTATAGACATGTACCTCCAAATCCAGCTGAAAAGACTTTTTTTTTTTAAAAAAAGAAATTATTTATGTACTTTATGTATATGAATATTCTGTCTTTATGCACACCAGAAGAAGGAATCTGATCCCATTACAGATTGTGAGCTACCATGTGGGTTCTGAGAATTGAACTCAGGACCTCTAGAAGAGCAGTCAAGTACTCTTAACCACTGACCCATCTCTCCAGGCCCTCCAAAAGGCCTTTTAATCTGTTGTGGGTCACAATGGTGAGTGCCCTGTGCAGCTGGGTGGGCAGGAGGGACAGCCTGAGGTTC